GTCTTCACCAATGGTGAGCTCCCCAAGGCGTTGGCGGCCACCAAGGGTGTCACCGACCCCTATGGTTGGTCTGGTGAGCTTCTTGCCTCCATCTACCGCATCAAGGAGCACTTCAGTCAAGTCTTGGGCCCACGCCAGGGTTCTACCAGCGACCCGACTGCTTCTTCTGATGGAGAAGCGCCTCAGGGCCCCACCACCGCCACTGGAGGTCCTCAGGTTGCCTTGAACAAGATCTTTCACCACATTGCCAACAACACCGTGCCCGAGTCGATTCGACATGCCCTTTGCTCCATCAACTACACTATCCTGGAGAAAGCCAATGGCAAGTTTCGACCCGTGGGCACGGATTCCATCTTCAACAAGGTTGTCAACCGCGCCCTGCTCGAGCAACAGCAGCCCCATATTGCCCACTTGCTACAGGCCAGTCCAGAGCTGGCCGTCGGAGTCAAGGACGGCATTTCAGCTGCGGTTGGCATGACCTTTGGTGAGCTTCAAGCCTGTGAGTCTACCCCGGGCTGGACCATGCTCTCCCTCGATTTCAAGAGTGCCTTCAACTACACCGACCGAGCACGGCTGCACGAGATTGTGGCCGACAAGGTCCCTGGCCTCTTGCGCGCCTTTGAACGACACTATGCTCGACCCACTACCCACTGCATTGTCGACAAGTTCTTCATCAAATACCTCGACGACATTGTACTGATGGGTCCCGCGGAGGACGTGGCGGCCGACGTGGGGATTGTCAAGGCTCGTGCAGAGTCTGCTTATTAGAGGCACAATCTGAGACGGTATACTTTACCACGTTGTGTGTCCTCTGGTACTTGATGTTGTCCCACCTTGTTGTGTAACATCTTGCTGTACCATCTTGGTGTATCATCTTGTTGTGGCATCTGTTGGTCCCAACAGATTGCTGATATCGCTTCCACCTGTCTTCAGTGTGATAGTCCATTCTCTGTCTCCACTGTGTGTGTGTTTCCACCTGCTATAAATGGGAGCGATCTCCCTGGATCGGTACCATTTTCCTTCTTGACCTCGGTCGTTCCACTTCCCTCCTTCTGTCTTGTTCTGTCTTGTTCCTTCGCCTTGCTTCAATCCATGTTCTCGTGTACACTTCGACTGGTTGGATACCTCTGTGACAATCGCCTTGTCCACACACATTACACTGTACTGGACATATACCTTTAATAGGTTATGGGCCTCGGTTGTGTACTCTTCCAACCTCTCTTTCGTTACCCTGCCTTGCGCTCTCCAGCTGCTCCGTTCCCCTCCTGCTTCCTCCCTGTGTCTTCTGCTTGCTGTGCTCTGTTTTTGTGCTTTTAAAACGATTCAATTTCATCAAAAACCTCTCTGTTCGCTTTGCTGTAAATTGTCATACTTTTTCTTGTTTGCCTGCTTGCTTGCTTGTTCTTTTCGTTTTTCTTTGCATACGTATCCCTTCCTTGATCATCGCCACCATGCCATTTAGTGTTATGCATACTCCTGTTGACAGCGAGTCACTCGTAGCCGTGGCGCTGTGCAAAGCGCTGCTCGCGCTGCTGCCACCAGAAACTTTGAGGCTCGCACCGACCTCACGCGCGACTTCCAGCACGAAGAAGATCATGCCGAACCCGACGCTCTCGATTGCTTGGTCAACGAGCATGAGGAAGAGGAAAGACCGAAAATGGCCGCCACCGGGTCGCACCCGGCCACGCCTTCGACAGGAGCCGCTCCCGTCGAGGCTACAGCGAGCGCTTCTCGCCATGCCGCAAGCGCCGCCGCCACATCAGCCGCCGCCGCGGGCCCTGGATCCCCCCGCAACAATGACGCCGCCGTGGCCCAGGTCCACAGGACCCTTCAAGCCCTAGTGCACTCTCTAGGCTCCCAACATCAGCTCCAATCGCAGATTGCCGAGCTTGAACGCGAGATAAACGCTGCCCTTCGGCTCATCCCGGACAGGGGCCGCTCACATGGTTCGTTACGCGCGCACGAGACCCAGTCGCCTTCTCGTGACCTTGCGACCGATTTTTCTTTGCTCGCTCCCTCGCCCGCGGCGCACCCGTCTGCCCGCGATGGCGAAGTGGCGTTTGGCCTGGCCTCCAATCGCCCTCTACCCCGGCTCCCGAGAGAGCCCGTGCACGAATCGCTCTCTCACGACTCTCGTTATCTTCATGGCTATTTGAGCTCTCCCGCACATGACGATAGAGCCACCACGCCCAGGCGCTCTCCCATGGAAGCAGTGGATGCATCCCAATTTGGTGTTGCCTTTGGCACCAATGCGCCACCACGGGCGGGCTCTCGGACTCAACCACCCCACCACGTTTGGCACCGAGCCTACCAAACCTCAACCAAGTGGGAGTCCTATCGCGGTGACAGCAAGAAAGGTCTCGACTGCCTCAAAGAAAACGTCAACTCGGCCCTCGTTCTTCTATTAGAGGCACAATCTGAGACGGTATACTTTACCACGTTGTGTGTCCTCTGGTACTTGATGTTGTCCCACCTTGTTGTGTAACATCTTGCTGTACCATCTTGGTGTATCATCTTGTTGTGGCATCTGTTGGTCCCAACAGATTGCTGATATCGCTTCCACCTGTCTTCAGTGTGATAGTCCATTCTCTGTCTCCACTGTGTGTGTGTGTTTCCACCTGCTATAAATGGGAGCGACCTCCCTGGATCGGTACCATTTTCCTTCTTGACCTCGGTCGTTCCACTTCCCTCCTTCTGTCTTGTTCTGTCTTGTTCCTTCGCCTTGCTTCAATCCATGTTCTCGTATGCACTTCGATTGGTTGGATACCTCTGTGACAATCGCCCTGTCCACACACATAACACTGTACTGGACATACACCTTTAATAGGTTATGGGCCTCGGTTGTGTACTCTTCCAACCTCTCTTTCGTTACCCTGCCTCGCTCTTTCCAGCTGCTCTGTTCCCCTCCTGCTTCCTCCCTGTGTCTTCTGCTTGTATTGTGAAACGTTTCAAAATCATCAAAACCTCTTTGT